TTTATTTATTTTTATTTATTACATTTATTTATTATGTGTGTGTGTGTGGCCAGCTCAGCCCACCAGGGGGCGGGGCTGGCTGGCATGTGGTGCTGGAGGATTGAACCGCGGTCCTTGTGCTTTGCCAAGCTTGTTTCAAGGAGGTGCTTTAGACCACTGAGCCATCTCTCCAGCCCATTTTAAAATATTTTTATCAGTAAAAAGTTTCATAAACAAGTTTCATTTACTCCAACTATATTTTGAGTTGTGTTCTTCATGAGAATGAAAGTTCCTTGACTTTGTTATTAGCTTTCTTCATATCACATTTTGTTTATTTGGTAGCCGGCTCAGCCTGCCCTAGGGGCAGGGATGACAGCATGTGGTGCAGGGGATCGAACAGTGGTGCTTTAGACTGCTGAGCTATTTTGCCCGCCCATGTCACATTTTAGTATGAGTTTCTCTCAGTAAAATTCTCTCAATTAAGTGAAAATCACCTGTGATGTTTAGGATCTTATTAAAAGGAAAACTCTCTTTTTTCTTCTTTGTACTGGGGGTTGAACTTGGGATCTTGGGTTTGCCAGGCAGGCACTTATGCCGCTGAACTATATCCCTAGCCCAAAGGAAGGCTTTCTGAATTGTGCTCTTGTTTTCTATTCCCCTTGAAATGCCCTTGACCATCCCTAGGGGAGATGCTGAGGGGGCAGCTGGACGTGTCTGTAGTTGAGAGGAGTGACTCCAACTGGGGCCAGAAATGTGGGAATGGTGACTGATGTTACATTTGTGATATGTAATCACCAAACCAATGGTGATTGATATTGAATTTAACATTGTTTAAAAAAATTAAATCTAATAACAATTTTAGTGAGGTGACAGAAAAGAAGACAGGTATAACTCCAGGCCTTTGGCTTGGATACTTGCTGGAAAAGCGATTCTCTACAGGGAACACTGATGGGGCAGAAAAACCCAACTTTTTTTCTATTAAAGCGGCCTTGAAGGATGCTTTATTTACAAGAACCTCCAACATAAAGTACAGAGTTTCTGGAACTTATTCACCAAAGAACTTTAGGGGTCAAGGAGCAGAGTGGCTTCAAGGACTGCACTGGGCCTTCACACAGAAGGGTTTGCTCTGCTCTTGATATCGTTGGTCATCATCACACTAGCTGTGCGTCATGTATGCTGTGCTAGCAGGGGATCATATATTTTTCCTGAAGGTGGAATTGTGGCTTCTAGACTCTGAGTTGGAAAGGAAGAGTTGGAGAGATAGCAAAGAAAAATACAAGTGTCACACAGCACATACCTCTACTAAAATAATCATGATCCATTGTTGATCTAAAATGCAAATTCCACTGGGTGTTCTGCATTCTATCTGGCAACTCTACTCTCACCCATTATCTTATTGTCCCCAGAAACTAGCATCATAATAACCAGTATTTCCTGAGTACAGACTTGTGCCACAGCCCATTATAAATGTTGTGTCCATTAACTTGGTTAAAACGTCTAACAAACATGTGCAAGGTGGGCTTTTCCAGATGAAAAAAATGGAGGCACACATAGATGGATAACTCAGTGTAGAACTCACGACAGGCATGAGAAGGTGGAACACTCCCATCTGGCTGTCTGGCAGGGATAACCAGACCTTTCATCTCAGTGACTGATGAAGAATATTCTGAAGACAGTAGAGCTGAGGGGAAGCTGGCCCAGGTGGTCCCCACCCAAATCAGCTCACAGCTGCTCCTGTTCTCTGCTAGGGCTTGACTTTATGATCCAGAATGAGTTAAAAGAGCCAGATTATATCTTTAAGTTTTAATTATTCCACTGGCTTTGGGAAAAGTTATTAGTGCTTGGAAGAAAACAAAACCATGTACGGGATGAATCATTCTCAAAAAGGTTTACTTGCTTTCAGCCGAAAATGCCATCTTCCAGTAATTTGCCAAAATGGCCAACACGGAGGGCAAGAGGAGGGGAACCCAGTTTATGTTCTCTAGGCCTAAGTTAGTGGACACAACATTTATAATGGGTTCTGGTGCAAGTCTGTACTCAGGAAATATTGGTTATTATGATGTTAGTTTCTGGGGATAATAAAATAGGAATATATGAATATTTGGTAGATATATGAAAATCTACAAAATCTTCCACTAAAGATTTCTTTTCAGTGGAAACCCAACGAAGCTACTCAGTTTTCAATAGGTCGGTCTGCTCTTATAGCCATCTTGCTAAGCCTCATCATTACACTTTCTAGATACCTACAAAGACCTTTGATGACATAATTGATTTTCTTCTCATTTGAAGGTTAAGCCATGTTCTATTAAAGACACAAAAGACAGAAATATGAAGATTTAGGTTTGGTCCATTTTTATTGTTGGCATTTATAAGTACATTCTCCAACTTCTCAGCCTGAGATCCCAAAGATGCTTATTATACTTGCAATGTGTATCCATCTCTGGTTTGTCTGAAATGTTCGGTGTTAGAATATGAGGTATCTCTCAGGAAACTGGCTGCCACCGTGCAGGATGAAATGTTCGAGACTCATGAAATTCACTGTGAAATGCTACTCAGCACAGTCCTTTGTTATATTTAATGAACTTAAAGCTTCTGATTTTAAATAGAATATAAAAAGAAAAAAAAAAGAATATAAAAAGAAATGTGAATTACATAAAACATTAGAGCCATTAAAAAATAACATTAGCTTCAAGTAAACATTTATAGTATAAAATTTACAAATTTTTAGGTAAGCCATAAAATTTGGGGAATTATTGCTATGAAATTGTTCTTTTTATTCATAAGAACAACTTCTAAGATATTTGTATTACATGAAATTAGTTTTACACTAAATAACAAGTGGTAATAAATGAGTACTGTCAGGGATCCAAAAGGTGGCACTGAAGAATAATTTGGAAAAACAAAGGTAAAAACATTAAAATTCTGATCAATATTTGATAGAATCAATTTAAGCTAGATAAGTCAGTTAGCAAGAAAAGCTATTTATTATCCTTTAACTTTATATCCAACAACTGCATCAAACTTAATATTGATCCTTTGTTTTAAAAGTGCCAGGAAACGCTCAGGAAAGATCCTAGAAGAAAGATACGCAAAAATTAGGAAAGTAATATCAAGCACATTTGTAGTTTTATTGGGGTAGTAGGGATGCCAGGAATTGAACTTAGGACCTTGCCCTTGCTAGGTGAGTACTGTGCCACTCAGCTATATCCACAGCCCCAAGTGCATTGTAAAGTATCTTCTTTTAAAATACTCATTTAGAATGATCAGACCTACATAACTCCATGAATGCTAAGCAATGACTTGAAGATTATACTATAATTGGCATTATCTGTTCTAATGGAGTCTAGATAGACATCAGTCACCCAGATTGATGAGCAAGATCTCTCATGATCCCTTCTTTAAAACATTGGGGTTCTTTCTGTGTACCCTTGCCATGTGACTCGCTTCCACATTGGATCAATATTGTTTAGGAGATGACTATACTTGTAATCTTATTGGTTGATCATAGTTTTGGGCTGTGTTGTACCCACCTCATGATTGTGTATCTACCTCACAATCTTGAACTAAAACTTCCTCCGTGAAGTAGGGTTTATAACAACTCACTTTTAGGTCCCCTCCTCCCTCTTAGAAGCTATTTCTCTCAATAAATTCTTCCTATTCTTAAAAATAAATAATAAATAATTTAATTTATTGGGTAGCTTGTATTCATTTGAGACAAGAACTTTAACTTGACGTTTCTAGTATGTAGTCCTTCTCATTGAATTCACAGTCTTTCCAAAGGAAAAGGAAAAAGGCCTAATTTTCTTTAGGGTAGGAGTGGCCTGAATATCTTTTGAAACATATACTCTGTGTGTGTGTGTGTGTGTGTGTGTGTGTGTGTGTGTGTGTGTGTGTGTGTCCGGCTCAGCCTGCCCTGGGGGGGGGGGGCTGGCAAGGCATGTGGTGCCCGGGATTGAACCTCAGTCCACGCACTTTGCCTAAGTTTGACTAAGCAAGCACTTTAGACCGCTGAGCTATCTCGCTGGCCCTGAAACGTATATATTTGAAATAAATACACTCCTACATTTTTTAAAAGATCTGAGAGGAGGATCTGAATGGCTGAAATCCCTACTAAAGAGAAACTTGGCATTGAAAAAGAAAGTGAATTCAGGAGCCAAAATTATGCTTTATAATTCATATCATTTAAATATTCTGCTGAAAGGCAGGGAAGTAGAACTGCTCAGTAAAAACGCAAACAATACACTTAGTTTTGAACATAAAGCTCAACGAACTCATTACCTTTTGAATTTAATCTCTTCAAACGTAAATGGAAAAATTAATGCCTATCCATAAGAGTTCTCAGGAGGGCTCCTGTGTTAAGAAAATGTATCAAACTTGTGATGGACAAGCTGGGCGTGGTCATGTCTGTAATCCCAGCACTGGGGAAGCTAAGGCAGGAGTACTGCTGAGAGTTTGAGCCTAGCCTACATAGTGAGTTCAAGGCCAGGTCAGAGTCTATATTTCTAAACCATTTCCCAGGGAGACCAATGCTGCTAGTCTATAGATGACACTGGAAGAAGTCAGGTGCAAGGATCTCTGTTATCATGAAAGGTTATTCAGCATCTCCTTGGCTATGACCTTCCCAAAGTAAAAGGTCAGTGCTGTCTGTGAATGCAGACCGAAAACCTCACCATGGAATCCTTTCATCTCACTGTCCTGATTCCAGTATGGGAAAATATTTTAAATGGATCCTGCCTCTTAATCACTCATTTATCAAACAAGTGGGGCCAGGGATATAGCTCAGCAGCACAGTGCTGTCTGGCAAGCACAAGGTCATAAGTTGGATTCCTGCTAAAAACAAAACAAAACAAAACAAAACAGAAAAAAACCTTAAAAACATGTGGAGGGCCGGCCAGATAGCTCAGCGGACTAAAGCACCTACTTAGGCAGAGCATAGTGGTCAGTGTTTGATCCTCTGGCATTGCTGTGTTGGCGTTGCCCCCAAGGAGCACTGAGATGGTGATTGAGACTAGTTGTGGTGGCACGTTCCTGTAATCCCAGAGCTTGGGAGGCTGAAAACAGAAGGATCACTACGAGTCCAATCTGTGTAGTGAGACCCCATACTAAGTACAAAAAAAAAAAAAAAAAAAAAGTGGAAATGATATGCCTGATTTCCCAAATAAAGATACCAAACTTACTTCGATGATTAACATGTTTAAAAATCAGCAGCATTGGGGCTGGTGAGATGGCTCAGTGGTCTAAAGCACCTACTTAGAACAAGCTAAGCTAAACAAAGCACAGGGACCACAGTTCGATCCCCCAGCACCACATGCCAGCCAGCCCCGCCCCCTGGTGGGCTGAGCTGGCCACACACACACAAAATAAATAAATAAATATTTAAAAAAAAAATAAAATAAAAAAATAAATAAAAATAAAAATCAGCAGCATCTGTGTGGCTATTCCTTTCATTACCTCAATTCTGTTTAACTGCATGTTATCAACTGTCTAATTTTAAATGACTAAAAATATGCAGTAAATAAATGCTTGTTTCTAATTCTGACAAACATAATTACCACTTACCTTTCCAGCAATGTTAACAAGCGGATAGTAGATGGGACAAAAATCATCTTCTGATCGGTCAAGATTCCATTCATCAGTTTGTCAACCACTTCCTCGGGCTCCAGGGTAGGTCCCAAGCTAGAAACAGAGGCAGGCATCAGACACAAAGCATCTCCCAGAGGCGTCTGCTGTGTTTGGTGCTGAGCAAGTGGAGTGACCAAAGGGACCCTTACAGAGCTGACCTGGTGTGGGGAGCCCACCAGCACGTTCAGAAATGGGGAGCTACTGTACCATCAATAACCATACCAACCACTTATTTACTGTTTACTGGGACCCACACACTAAGTTAACCCTTCTGTCCAGGCTAAGAGGGTTGTTTCCCCCACCGCCCCAGAACCTGAGATTGAACTCAGACCCTTGCACTTGCCAAGGAAGTACTTATTCCACTGAGCCATCTCCGCGGCCCCAAAGAGGTTTTATAATAACCTAAGAAGGCAACATTATAATCCTAATATTGCAAATAGGATCTGTGGCAGTAAGCAGGACTCAAAAATAATTCAGCTAGACTGGGATTGACAAGCTCACTTTCAAATCTTCAGCTTTTTCAGGAAAGAAGTCAGATACCAGTATACCAGGCTTATTATCATCATTGAACAGTGTCTAAAGTGTTGTCACAATTAAAATACGATAGATGTGTCTCTCGTTGTGGATGCCATGCATCCACATGGACACTTTATAAGGTCCTGATTGACTTTTTAGCCTTGTTACTTGGTTCCACCACACCTTTGTTGTGCCACCCAAATTCATGTACCATCGACCAGCTAAAGGGCAGTAGGCAAAAAAGTGGTTTGTAAAAGTCTGGATGTTGAAGTGCATTTAAGGAAGAGCTGCAAAAGGGCTTGTTCTCAGAGGCCTTTTTTTTAATGAAAACATCTCACCAACTTTACTTTTTTTTTGAGACAGAGTATCACTATGTAGTGTAGGCTGGCCTCAAACTCACAGCAATCCTCCTGCCCCAGCCTCCTGCGTGCTGGGATCACAGGCCTACACCACCATGCCCAGCTTCCCAACAACTTTAAAAATAATTTGCATTTTTAAAATAGGAAGCTCTGTGGGGCTGGGGAGATGGCTTAGTGGAATAAGCACTTTCCTGGCAAGAGCAAGGACCTGAGTTCAATCCCCAGTTCCACCAAAAAAAAAAAAAAAAAAAGGAAGCTCTGTGGCATCAGGACTTATTTCCTGCTCCACAGGGTTTTTTTCAGGCAAGGTCTTACTTTATTATTAGACTGGTCTTGAACTATGTAGCCTGGGTCTGTCCTTGAACTTGCAAGGATTCTTCTGCCTTCGCCCCCTGAGTGCTGGGCTTACAGGTGTCCACAGGCTTCAGCTGCCGCTGCACTACTATCTCCCCGGTACTCTTGAGGCACATTAGCCATGTTCTCTTCTGTGGGAAGTCCTTGCGGCAGTTTCAGGGGCTGGATTCTTACGAGATGCTTAACCACTTTCAGCTTTGCATTTACTGAAAGGATGTTCTTATGAACTTGAGGAGTGTGTGCTTTTTCTAATCCAAGCATCGATTACATTTTTTTCCCAATGTGGTCGTCTTATTGTACTTTTTATTCTGGTAACAACATGTAGTTTATGAGGGTGCTGTGGATCCCCACCATACTTTTCACGATCTTGAGGTGAAGGCTGAAACACTTTATCTGGAATTTTTTTTTGAGGAAAGATTTATTTTTTTAATATACATATTCCACAGTTTATTTATTTATTACATTCATTTAGTGTGTGTGTGTGTGTGTGTGTGTGTGTGTGTGTGTGGCCAGCTCAGCCCACCAGGGGGCAGGGCTGGCTGGCATGTGGTGCTGGGGGAT